CATATAACAGACTGCTTCCTTACCAGGAAAAGGCCTTTAAAATCATGTCTACTCAAAATTATGATGACATGTTTCAGTTTCTTTTTTTTTTTTTTTTTTTTTTTTTCACAAGGGTAATGGTTAGAAAGTTATTATGAATTAGTTGTTAGCAACTGAGGATTTGATCCACAGACTGGGTGAACATTTTACCCCCTCAAGTGAGGTGCGCGGCCACCAAGCCACTTTCGGTGGAGTTCACGACGGTGGTAAAGTTCGAAGTTTCGACTAACCCACCCAAATACTAAAGGCTTGGGGTTGAACCATTGGAACTAAAGGGCCAGTTCGATCATTGTTTATTTTAAATCTATGGTAAGTAGTGTTTTTTATAAAATAATTATTTATATGACTGTTACACTTCTTTCTTGTTTTACTTTCCATATTAGTTCAATTTTTGCTCATACATAATTTATGGTTAATTAGTTTAAAATTTTCAATTTTTGGTAGTTTAATCAGCAAATCTATCTATAGACATAAGCTAATCTAACTTTGACCATGGAAGTTTTTTTTTTTTTTTTTTTTACAGTCAAAATTATATTAATAGTATTAGTATTTGTTCAAAGAGAAAGGAGGAATGTCGAGCACTAAGCTCGACCTGGAGAGTAAGGTGCCCCCACTTCACTTATCAAATGAGAAGCGTGGCCACTGGCCACATAGTGGTGAGCTTGAACATGAAAGTTTTAATTAAGATGTGTTCATCTTTTGCAAGTTTATTTTAATTTGTATTTCATTTAAAATTTATTAATTTTAAATTCATAATATTTGTAAAGTTCTTGGGATTGTCCAAGGTAAATTAGTAACTCATTCTACAAGAAAACATCCCTCCATCTTGCAAATTATTTGAAGGTACAAAATTAAATTTTAAATCAATGTTCTTTTAGCCATTTTGATGAAAGTCGATCATGTGAAAAAAAAAGGTTATTGAGAAAATTCTTTTCTCTTACTTAAAAAAAAAAAAAAATTAAATAACACGCTCGTATATAGATTTATTCCATGCGAAATCACTTGAAGATTTTTGAAAAAACACTAAATAAATAAATTAGTATTTTAAATCAATGTTCTTCTAACAATCTTGATGAAAGTCGATCATGTGAAAAAAGAAGGTTGTTGAGAAAATTTTTTTCTCTTACTTTAAAAAAAAGGTAAATAACACGCTCGTATCCAGATTTATCCCATGCGAAATCACTTGAGAATTTTTCAAAAAACACTAAATAAATAAATTAATATTTTAAATTATAAATAATATTAATTATTAATTATCAATTATCAATTATATCTAAATAGTTAATTTAAATAACTCTTAAATTGCACAATTAATGTGAGTGCGACCTCAGCAGATGAT